GAATGTAAGAAAATCTAAGAACCCTAAGGATAAAGCTCAGATAGACGCAATCACGGAAGTACCACATAATTACCTTAGCTGGATAGTATACTATAATAATTCATATCTTATGCACAGAAGCAGCAAAGAAGGATTAGGATACTACCTAAAGAAACCACAAGCCAGGAAGTCTTACGAGACTATATAAATTAATACCCTTAATTTTTACGAAAAGAAATGTGAAGACTGCAGCCCCACGGAACCCTATTCCATCCATGCACTCTATAAATACTCATCTTACGGCTCATGGAATATCAATCACACGTGCGAGAACAACAAATCAAAGGACAAGAAAGAATAGGAACTCTCGGATAAGGAAACTAGCAAAGACAAAATCACCTATAACAAGAGTGAAAGAATCCACAAATGCAGCTTCTAAAAAACAGACAGAAAACATTAACAGTAGATTAACGCCCTTCCAGACACGCACCCTTTCATAAAATATAAGGAGGAATTAGAGGACTTTAAAGATAAACTCCTATGCCACCTATGTAATCTAAAGAACCTCAAATATAGAAAAACTATGCTCTTACATAACCAAGGATATAATAAATACAAGCCATACTCAAAAGGAAAACACATCTTAAATCCTTATATCTATAAGTGCGAACTCTGTGGAATAATAGACCTTAATTACAATTACAAGGGATATTTCACATGCGGCTCATGGGACCTTAACCACAGCTGCAAAGAAGTCTTAGACACACTAGTTAAAGAACACAGATAATAAGAAGAAAGGCGATAATATCTAAAGAAACACCCCCCAGTACGAATTAATCTACCCATAATTAATATCACCAGTGCCTACAACCACATCTCACTACCGCACTTATACCCCCCATTAAGAATAGGACTCGCGGAAGAATATAAGTTTGATGAGGAATGCACGGAAAGAAATTATAAATACTGCGACAACCCACATTGCAGACAGCATATATATAATAAAATCAAAGATTAGCACAAATATTGACTAAAATAAGTTAAGCATAAGAAATACATAATAAACCACTTCCTAGACTACACAATTATATATTATAGCATACATAGAGAAAAGAAGAGCCAATTCTATCGGATTACCTAAAAATTAGCATAAAAAGGCTATAATTTCGAAAACTATCTAAAGCAAGGACAAGGAAACAAAGCCCTAATTAAAAGATATCACTGTTTAATCAAAGACCGAAACGAAGAATTAAAATGCTAATAGTGCGCAAAATACTAAAGTGTCACATGGGACCAAACCCATTTAGATAGCATCTGAATCGACTCAATCGGACGCGACAATAAGAAACTACAAATTAAAGGGTACATTAACTAATAACCAGTCATAACATACATAGACAGTAGTGCGGATCGCAACCTTATCACTCCTCAAATAGTAAACCTACTCGAATTACCATACGCTAAGAAAAAACAACCTACATATATGTCTAGTGTCACAACACCTAATGCCAAGACAACAATCAAATACAAGACTAATTATCTCCCAATTATAATTGCCGGTTATACTAAGACTATTAAGTTTAATATCATACCTCTTAACACCTGCGACATTTTGCTTAGACACCCCTAGTTAAAATAAGGCAACCCACTAATCAACTGGAAAACTAAATAAATACTCTAGGAAACAGACATCACCCAGGAGCTATAACTAAGCTATGGAGAGGGCAAGGAAGGCGAAGACGCGCCTACAGACCCAAAAATAAAATCTTATGCGCAACAAAATCAAGAAAATATAAAAAAAATAAAAATAAAACCTAAGAAAAAGGTTAGATTTAATACAGAAAAATCACCAGTACCACTACAATATAACCATAGAAGAGTTAAAGGAGAATGAGTATAAATTAACCGAATTATCGGATGAGTTAAAATAGAATTATAAGCTCTAGATAAAGCACTATTAGAAGCAAGAGAAAAAGAAAAACTAGGAGAATTAGAAGAAACTCTCCTAAAAGCACCTTAATAATACTAAAGGAAATATAGAAAATTATTTAGCCCAATATTAGAAACAGTACAGCCGCTTTATTTACAATAGGATCACTGCATAGATCTCATAGACAGCAAAATAATAAAATTCTTTCTAATCTACAATCTTAGCAAAGTAAAACTTAAAACACTTTAAGAGTGAATATAAGAATAATTGGAAAAAGGATACATTAAGCCATCCACATCACTAGCTAAATACCCTATTATATTTATACCTAAGAAAAATAGGAAACTTAAACTAGTTATCGACTACCGACAGCTAAACGAGATTACTATTAAAGATTAAACCCCATTACCGCTTATTATAGAAATTTAAGACCGCCTAACCGGTGCTAATTGGTTTACTGCCTTAGACCTTAAAGGAGCGTACAACCTAATTCACATCCGCGAAGGGGATAAATAGAAAACAGCGTTTAGAACACGCTATAGATTATTCAAATGCTTAGTAATGCCATTTAGGCTAACTAACGCACCTGCAACATTTTAATGAATAATTAACTATATACTACGAGCATACATTAACAACTTTATAATCATATACCTTAATAACATTCTTATCTTCTTAAAAACCCTTAAAGAACACAAGGAACACATCCATAAGGTACTATAGACATTATAAAACGCTAACCTATTAGTGGAACTTAAAAAATGCAGTTTCCACGTTTAAGAAATCAAATTCCTAGGATACCTAATCTCACCAGGGCAAGTCCGAATAAATCCAGACAAGCTTAAGGCAATATAAGAATAGAAGCTACCTAACATAAGAAAGGGAATACAAAGCTTTCTAGGCCTAGCGAATTATTACCAAAGATTTATTAGAAACTATAGCAAAATCGCTAAACCACTTACTGACGCCACTTAACTTAAAGAAGACGAGAAGGGCAAAAAGAAACTAAAAGACAGGAAACTCGCATATAAACCAGAAATAGAAGAAGCATTTAAACAACTTAAAAATGCACTTCTTAGCGAACCTATACTTATTATATATAACCCTAATAAACCACTGGAAATTAAAACTAACTCATTAGACTTTGCCATTAGGGGAGTACTAATATAGAAAGACAAAAATAGAAAAAACTATCCAGTAGTATTCTTCTTACAAAAACTATATAGACTAGAATTAAGGTATCTTATTTACAATAAAGAATTCATAGCAATTCTTAAAGCATTTAAAGAATGAAAACATTATTATTTAGGAAGTAAGTATAAGGTTAAGGTCCACACCGACTATTGCAATATTATATACTTCACTAAGACTTAAAAACTCTTCGCATAACAAACTCATTACTTCAAGACACTATTAGACTTTGACTATAAACTCATTTATTGCGATAGCACTGCTAACGGACGAGCAGACGCCTTAAGCAGGAAAGAAAAACACTTCGAGGAAATCCCAGAATTTAAAGCCCAGATTCTAAGGAAGAATCATTAAGGAAACTACAAACAGATACGGGTTAACACTCTATTTATTATAGAAGAACACAACCCTATTCTTAACAAAATAAGGGAATGTATAGCACAAATAGAACTAGACGAACTTCTAGAAGAAGTAACTATTAAAGAAGGATTACTAAAATAGGAAGGAAAAATCTAGGTACCACTAGAACTGCAAATTAAAGCAATCTAAGACTTACATTAAAGCATAATCGCAGCCGCACATTGTGGTATTTATATAATATAGAACCACGCAGTATAATACTACAAATTTCCAGGGATAAAGAATAAAATCTTAGAAGTCATTAAGAAATGCAATATATGTAAAAAAATAAAGGACAAAAGGCATTAGCTATATAAAATATTGCAATTAATCCCAGTTCCGGAAAGGAATTAGCATACTATTACATTTAACCATATTACTGACTTGCTTAAGTTAAAAGATCTACTAACTGAAAAACAATTTAATAGTATTTTTGTAGTTATGGATAAACTCTTAAAGTAAGTATATTTCTTACTATATAAGAAATTGCACACAGTAGAAAACTTAGTGTATCTTTATATAAGATATATATTTGCTAAACATAGAATGCTAAAAGAAATTATATTAGACAGAGAAAGTACCTTTACATTTAAATTTTAGTAAGAATTAATAGCTAAACTTAGAACTTACTATAAATTAAGCACTGCGTTCTATTTATAAACAGATAGATAAATAGAACAGATAAATTAAGTTATTAAGGCATACTTACAATATTATATTAACCTCCAGCAAGATAACTGGGTTAAAATATTAGTAATTGCTTAAATATAATATAATAGCTTTATAATAGAAACCACAGGAGTTATACTATTTTACGCTAATTACAGGTTTACACTAGAAGCCTATAGACTACCTCGCGATAGCCCAAATGCGGATAATGCATGCATTCTTGCAGAAGATATAATCCAATTATAGGAAGAACTCAAAGTTTAACTTAAATTCTTTAGGCAGCGCATAAAGGAATACGCTAACTAAATAAGGATTAAGGGACTAACCCTTTAGGAGGGAGACATAGTCTACTTACTATAATATTTACGCAATAAAAAATTACTAAACATTAGAATAAATAAACTAAGCGATAAATTAAATTTTAGAAAACTTAAACTATTTAAAATTTTGAAAAAAATTAGCGAAGTTAACTATAAATTAGACTTACCTAAGAACATAAGACTAAAAACGGCTGTCTTTCATATATTACTACTTAAGAAAGCACTAGTGGACAAAGAAATAGGCGAACTAATTATAAACGAAATTATTATCTAAGACATTAAAGAAGAATATAAAATTAAGAAACTACTTTACATGTAAATAAATAAAGAAATAGGAGAATGAGAATACCTCGCAAGATAGAAAGGATATAATTCCAGTAAAGACTCTTAGGTTCTAGAAAGAGAACTTAAGAGGAATGCCTAAATAATTCTGCGGGAATTTCATTAGTCGCTAGGGGTAGAAATAACAACGGGTCCAGCTCGAAGGCAGACCAATCAACATTGTCAACGGACTAGGATAGGCCGGCAACGGCAGAATTAGGCGCTAAGGCAGCCTGACGGGCAGCCTCCGCCTCCTCACGCTCAACACAATCCAATTCCGCCAAATCAGTAATTCCCCGCGCGACAGCACGCTTCATCCTTTCATACCAAACTCGTTTCTGCTTGCGAAGATGTGCCACCTTAGCAGCCACCTCAGCAAGAACGTCTTCCGCCTCCTCTAACTCTTCCTCTAAATGAAAATAATAAGAAAAAACACAATTAAGTTAATCAGGCGTTAAGCCTTAAACGTCGCAATACGACTTATTTAAATGAACACACTTATAGCAACGCAACAAATCTAAAGATAAGATAACACAGTCAGCGTGGTTCTTTAAAATGCAGTTTAAACAGCGCGTGTCGGATTTAGCCGCACCAGACATTATAGCTCTTAGCAAAGAATTGCGTTAATAAGTCCTCTTATAAAGAGATTTCTTAACGATTTTATCTGGCATTATAAGGTTAGTACGGATAAAAGAATACACTAGAAAGAAAAGTAAGACGGACACTCACTAAGTGGGGATGTCGCTACTTATACCAAGATCTACTAGGTCTTAGGGACAAGACCAACAGGAGGAGAGTATTGTGTCACGACCCAAACTCTTATAGTCGCAACAACGGGCCTACAGGGTAGGCCTCGCCGGATTAACTATAGGCCGGCGAACCAATAAGGAGCGACTCATCGCTCTCAACAGATAAGTCCAGCGAGTCAACTCATCAGACTCATTAAACAAGTCTAATAAGTCCATTAACTCAACTGAATATATAAGTTCACTTCTCTACACTCATTTAAATAACTTAAATAGCCAGTTATTAACACAGAATTAAGATTGCAACACGCTCTGCACTACTTACTATCTAGTGACATTTATTATTACTATTTACATTACACAAAGATCTCCTAATCGCTCCGCTAATATAAACCCAGAACTAAACTCTAGGTTTATCCCTTAGGAATCCCTCGTATTACTAACTATCTAGTGTATAGTTCGTCACAAAAAGAAACTAAAAGATAGGAAACTTATATATAAACTAAAAATAAAAAAAGTATTTAAATAATTTAAAAACGCACTTCTTAGTAAACTTATACTTATTATATATAATCCTAATAAACCACTAAAAATTAAAACTAACTTATTAAACTTTACTATTAGGGGAGTATTAATATAAAAAAATAAAAATAAGAAAAACTATTTAATAGTATTTTTCTTATAAAAACTATATAAATTAAAATTAAAATACTTTATTTATAATAAAGAATTTATAGTAATTCTTAAAGTATTTAAGAAATAAAAATATTACTATTTAAAAAGTAAGTATAAGGTTAAGGTTTATATTAATTATTATAATATTATATACTTTACTAAGACTTAAAAACTCTCTATATAATAAACCTATTACTTTAAAATATTATTAAACTTTAATTATAAACTTATTTATTATAATAGCACTGCTAATAAATAAGTAAATGCCTTAAGTAAGAAAGAAAAATACTTTAAGGAAATCTTAGAATTTAAAGCTTAAATTCTTAAGAAAAATTATTAAGGAAATTATAAATAAATATAGGTTAATACTTTATTTATTATAGAAGAATATAACCTTATTCTTAATAAAATAAGGGAATATATAGTATAAATAGAATTAAATAAACTTTTAAAATAAGTAACTATTAAAGAAGGATTATTAAAATAAGAAAGAAAAATCTAAGTACTACTAAAATTATAAATTAAAGTAATTTAAGACTTATATTAAAGTATAATTGCAGCTGTATATTATAGAGTTTATATAATATAAAACTATATAATATAATATTATAAATTTCTAAGAATAAAAAATAAAATTTTAAAAGTTATTAAAAAATATAATATATATAAGAAAATAAAAGATAAAAGGCATTAGCTATATAAAATACTATAACTAATCCTAGTTCCGGAAAGGAATTAATATACTATTATATTTAACTATATTACTAACTTACTTAAGTTAAAAGATTTACTAACTGGAAAATAATTTAATAGTATTTTTATAGTTATAAATAAACTCTTAAAGTAAGTATACTTCTTACTATATAAGAAAGCATATAATATAGAAAACCTAGTATATCTTTATATAAAATATATATTTACTAAATATAAAATATTAAAAGAAATTATATTAAATAAAGGAAATACTTTTATATTTAAATTTTAGTAAAAATTAATAGTTAAACTTAAAACTTATTATAAGTTAAGCACTATATTTTATTTATAAATAAATAAATAAATAAAATAAATAAATTAAGTTATTAAAGTATACCTATAATATTATATTAACCTTTAGTAAAATAATTAAGTTAAAATACTATTAATTACTTAAATATAATATAATAGTTTTATAATAAAAACTATAGGAGTTATACTATTTTATGCTAATTATAGGTTTATATTAAAAGCCTATAGATTACCTTGCAATAGCCTAAATATAAATAATATATATATACTTATAAAAAATATAATTTAATTATAAGAGGAACTTAAAGTTTAACTTAAATTCTTTAAGCAGCGCATAAAAGAATACACTAATTAAATAAAGATTAAAAGATTAACCCTTTATAAGGGAGATATAGTTTACTTACTATAATATTTATATAATAAAAAATTACTAAATATTAAAATAAATAAGCTAAGTAATAAATTAAATTTTAAAAAGCTTAAATTATTTAAAATTTTAAAGAAAATTAGTAAAGTTAACTATAAATTAAACTTACTTAAGAATATAAAACTAAAAATAGCTATTTTTTATATATTACTACTTAAGAAAGCATTAGTAAATAAAGAGATAGGTAAATTAATTATAAATAAAATTATTATTTAAAATATTAAAGAAAAATATAAAATTAAAAAATTAACTTATATATAAATAAATAAAATAATAGGAGAAAGGGAATACCTTATTAAATAAAAAGAATATAATAATAATAAAAACTCTTAGGTCTTAGAATAGGAATTTAAAAGAAATGCCTAGATAATCCTATAGGAATTTTATTAATTTTTAAGGGTAAAAATAATAATAAGTTTAGTTTAAAGGTAAATTAATTAATATTATTAATGGACTAGGATAGGCTAGTAATAGTAAAACTAGGCGCTAATAAGGTAGCTTAATAAATAGCCTTTATTTTTTACTCTTTATATTTAACTTATTTTAACTTCTTTAAATTATTAATCCTTTATATAATAGTATAAGTTATTTTCTTTAATTATAATTATTTCTATTTTTTAATATATTTAATCTTAGTATTAATAGCTTTTTAGTGTTCCTCTACTGCCTTTAATTTATTCTTAAATTAAGTATAAAGAGAAGTAATTTTTTATAATTAAGCAGTAGTAAAAGGGTAAGTATTATATAAAGATTTATTATTCTTTATATACTTAATATATTAAGTAAAATCCTTTTTAAATATTTAATATTTAAGGAAATAATATTTTTTTTTATTTAAATAATAAGTATAGTCCTTTATTTTAATAAAATAAAATAAAATAATTTTTAAAAGAATATTATAATACTTTATCTTAGGATAAGGTTTTTTTTAAATACTTATTATAATTATTAATATATATACCTTTAAATAATAAAAAAATAAAGGAAATTAATAATAAGGTAAAAAGGCTAAAGTAAATACTTATACT